AGTAATTGCAGTAAAACAGCACACCGTCCCTGGAGGAGGCTCAACAATGCAGCTCAGATTCATCTACTCGCTTACGGCCACCGTGAGCCAAAACACGCACGACTGCAACGGACATCGCATATGCACGTTGCATCTTCTCGATGATTTCCTCCCACACGACATCCTTGGGAGTCTGCAACACTGAACAGCCCATCGCATGCAAACAGCGAAGTCATGTAACCTGCTCTCAACACGAGGCCGTTTTCTGGATCAACACCGGACCGGGCTTTCTTACCACGAGCCGCTGGCCGTTTCAGCACCTTGGACAGCGACTGCACAAAAAACACGCCCGCGCCCGTTGTATCCGAAAATCTGCTTTAATGACGAAGAGAGGTACAGAGAAGAGAGAGAGAGAGAGGAGAGAGAGAGAGAGAGAGGGAGAGAGAGAGGAGAGAGGAGAGAGGGAGAGAGAGAGAGGGAGAGAGAGAGGGAGAGAGAGAGAGAGAGGAGAGAGAGAGAGAGAGAGAGAGAGAGGGGAGGGGGAGAAAAGAGAGAGGAGGAGAAGAGGAGAGGGGCTTACCTGAAAAAACGCGCAGCCCCGCTATAGGACTCCTGAATCCGTGCAGCGGTGGAAGCCCGGCCCTTCTGGTTCACGGTGTCAACTGGCAGACATAGGAATGCGAGGACTGGTTCATTGGCAACGCGAGGAGACAGACACTCGGTGGACACTCGGTGTGGCAGCCTCTCCGTCTCTCTTACTCTCTCTCCTCTCCTCCTCTCTCCCTCCAAACGATGCTGTATACAGAGGCACGGGCTCGCCACCTCCGAGTGGCGTGAACGCGCATCGATCCACGACCAATTGCGTGCGAGGAATAAATTACAACCCGTTTCGGGAGACAAACAGCAATGTCTCTCAAATTGTGCTGCTGTGCTGCTGCAGAGATATATGTGCAGTTTATTATTATTGAACGAAGGCCAGTCTTGCAGTCAAAGGTCAAAAATGTTGCATATTTTATATTTCATATTTCTGAACCTGGAGGATTATCTTTCTTACCTGTCTTCATTGGTTACCCAGACACTAGAATTGATTTTAGAATTCTTCTAACTACACATAAGGCACTACACAGGCTGCATGGCCCTCATTATATTTCTGAGTTATTGTGGCTCCTGCACATGGTGAGATCTTTACAGTGGACTGATCAAGACCTTTGGCCATCCCAAAGTCCAGATGTAAAAGCAAAAATTCATCTTTCACCTGCATAAGAGAAGATATTCAAGTCAAATTCTGCATTTATATTTTACAGGAAGTTCCATAAAACTGTGTCAGACACCGACTGCAAATGGAAGAAACTGTTATAAATCATCTATGAGTTTCTGTGAATCAGCGGCGGAGCATTCAGCTCTGCAGCGATAAATGAATCAACAGAAAACCTCTTGATTTGCTTGCAATCTGTGGCTTTGAGATATGCAGCAGTCTCAGCAGTTTTTCTCTTGTCCTCCTTATCAACCCTTTCCCTCTCTCTCACGACTGTAGCTCTCTGCAAGATGGCTCTAACAGTCGAGCCCATTCAGCTGCAACATCAGAAATACACAATCCTGGATTTATTAGAATTGGTTACTGATGTCACAGCATTGGAATCTGAGTCAGATGATGTCCATATATCATTCTCTCTCTGAAGTATTTTCTTTGTTTTGCTTGTCTGTCTATTTTAAGCAGGATCTGCTGTAAATGGGTCACTTGGATCAGGCCTTCACTTATTGCCTCCTCAAAAACATGCAATACAAAAATACAGCAATATAAAATACTCAAATCCTCCGTTTACTTGAACATAACTTAATCTTATCTGAAAATGTTACTGGCCTCACACAGCACTGTTAAATGTACTTATGTCTTTATGATTCAGTAAAAACATCCGACTGCTGCAGGAAATTGATGCAGCCATTAAAACCACTGACCATAAAATACTTTTTAATAGACTAGACATTGTGGTATCTACGTCAGTGTTCTGTTGGCTGCATAGAGGGCAGGGGCCATGTTGTTACCATTTGCGATCATGAATCTGATGTAATCGCTTTGATTTACAGATTCATTATGCTACTTTTAATCTAAATCCAGTAATCCCGCCAACTACTCTAAACTTGCTTCATGGATGTAAATGCATTAAGAGACTACAGAGAATTAAATGTTGGTGTTATAATGGATTCAGATATGAGCTCCAGCAGCTGCGTCAAGGCAGTCATGGCATCAGTCCATTATGATCTAAACATCGCAACAATTAAGTTTAATTTCTACAGGAGGTGAAGAAAAACTCAGTCTCGCCTTTATTAACAGATTCAATTTAAACCATGTCAGCTTGACTGGCTGTTTGATTTTTCTAACAATCCACTCAACCATCCAGACCAATTCAAGATGCTACTTGAGGAAGCATTCTCATATTTTATTATCATTCCAGTTAGTTATAGAGTTAGATTGTTAGTGTATAAATCACTCAAGAGCTCATTGAATACATTTTGTAAGTATTCAAAGAATAATCCCAATGGACCCCCCAGATCTTTAGGAAGCAGTCAGCTATAAGTGCCTCAGGCCAAAATCAAACACCACATTAGACAGAGCGACTCTGCTGCTCACAGAAGGAACCAGCTCTCATTAATTCATCACATTCTTTACCTCACCTTAAAAAATTTCTAATATCTTTTGTCTTTGTTGAGTATATTCTTTTATCTATATGCTGTCCCCCTATAATAAAAGTATTGCTCTTCTGCACTGTTATACTGTACAATAATATATGTTTAATTATATTTTGTCTATTTCAGCAAGTTCTTTTCATTCTCTGTCAATATATCTTGTTCATTATAGCTCTCAATGGGTTGGTTCCTCCTAATATGTACATAAAATACAAGTGTAATAGCCAATATCAACACAATACTAAACAAAAGCTTTTAAACATGATGAAATTGAAACTGCCAGAGCTGGTTACAATGATGGAATTTAAATTGATTAAAGAATTGAATAACCAGCTGTTATGTTCACAGTGGATATCCTTATAATTGTTATTAAAATTAAGATTGTACATGTGTTGTGTATGGCAGCTGTGATTGTCTCTTTGTGTTGTGTTTTATAGATGTTGTAACAATGTTTTGTTGCCCTCTCACCAGGTCTCAAGAAATTTCAATCTCAATGAGACTTTTACCTGGTTAAATAAAGGATATATGCATATTTACATGTTGTTTGACTCTCTGTGTTAGAAAGGTTTAATACAGATAAACTTGCCTTGCCTAAATATTTCATGCTCATGGTGATGCCATCCATCTGTCTTAACCTGACCCATCAAACTGCCCCCCTCTGCACATGAGGACACTTACAACCACAGAAATAACCTTTTCAACAAGGCAGGTCAAGGTATTCGATAATTTAATCCAAAAGGGTGTAGACTGAGGCTACAGTTTATCCCCCATAACCTTTTTAGAAAACACATTCGACATCAACTATACTGCTGACATCTAACAAAAACATAACATAAAATAAAATAAAATGGCAGTGTCGTGCCTGTCAAAACATTTAGTGTTTCTACATGCTTTTTAACTGGAGGAAAATTTTATCTTTTTACATTGGTCCTCTCTATTAGTTGTTTAAACATGCAAATCTGCAAAATATTTATATACTCTATAATTTGCACCATTTTAAATTTAGGAGCCTTTAAACAGCTGGTTGATTCATGGTAAGTACTTTTATTTACAATCTCTTCTGACTGTTTTCACTGTATCGTTTTTAATAAGCAGAGCGCCAAGATGTCATCATCATCTCATTAGTGAAGCTTACATCATAGTCACATCTGTCCAGTTCAAATACCATATGTTCCTCAAAGGTCAGTCGTCAGTCACAACAGGGCCCTTAGTGCCGCTCATACGTCAGAGCGCCACTGATTCTGCAATAAAAAGAGGGTAATAGACAAATACATGTCCAGAGAAAGATAAGCCTTAATTTGAATGTACCTGTGTCGAATATGATTAATTTCAATAGTGAAAATACGACAGCTTTGTGGAGTCAGCTGTCATTCACAGCTGCAATATATCAATGAGAGGTGAATAATTTATATGTAATGTGACTGGCTTTTACATTTAAAGGTACAGTGTGTAGAATGTTGTGATATCTAGCGTTGAAATTTCATGCTGCAGCTGAACACCCCTCACCTCACCCTTCGCTTCCAAACATGAAAAAGAACCTGTGGTAGCCTTTAACTGTCATAAAAACTCAAAAGGTGTTTAGTTTGTCGGGTCTGGACTAATGTAAAAAACATGGCGGCCTGAGGGTCCCCTCGATGTAAATATAAAGTATTTGAATATAAAGGGCCTTTTCTGGGGTAGAGAAAACTACAATTCATACAATTTAGATGAAAAAAACTAGTGAAAACATCATGAGGATTATTCTACATGAAATTTTTGCCAGTAGTTCCCTTCCAACTAAATCTTACACACTGGACCTTTCAGAATAATATATTGAAATAAACCTAAGGCCTGCGCTATCAGTTAACTCAAGCTCCGAGCCCCCGAAAAGTTTAGACTTTAAGTGTTATTAAATAATTTCTTCAAACATACTCTTAAAGGATTTTTAACATCCTCTTTTATGTTTTCTAAATAACTAAAGGCTGGTTATGAAATTAGTCAATAGGCCATTGACAATACAATATCATTATTATTGTTGCTATTATTTATTGTTGCATTATTATAGTTATGATTACTATTATTGTTGTCATTTTTATTGTTATTTTTGTTTTTATTTTTATTATGGGACTCTGATCTTTCACTCGAGCAGCTTAAAGGGACCATTCACCCAAATGTATAACCAAAGGCTGGTTATGAAATTATACAATAGTATATTGTAAACAATACTATATTATTATTATTATTAGTAGTAGTAGTAGTAGTAGTAGTAGTAGTAGTAGTACTAGACTGTTTCTAGTCAGTGTACCACTTTAACAACCAGCCTCTGGTCACATGTTTCGGGTGAACGTTCCCTTTAAGAGGCTCGGGTGAAAACTCCGAGTCCCACAATGCACCGGCGCATTCTTCGTCGTCAAACAAAAACGCGGAAACAAAAGAAAGAACCAGTTTGTCAAAACAAATAAGCTCGAGTCGCCTCGAAGTGAGCGCAGTAGAAGCTGACAGCTGTCAAAGTGAGCACCGTAGCTGCTGCCCGACCGTCCCAGCGACCCGCCATGGCCCTGAAGAGAATACAGAAGGTGAGGCTGGTGTTTATCTGATGCGCGGAAAAGGTCGCAGCGATACGGAAACGTCGCCCTAGCGTTAGCATCTCGATCACCGCGTAGCATCTGTCGGCTAACCCCAGCGTGCTTCGTCGATGTATCTGCGTCTTCCGGACGGTTTTTTAAGGCTCCGTGATGATTTCACCTCCTGGATTTCACCGCCAGCGAGCGACTGAGTCGAGCTGTCGTCGGTGACAGGACATTAAAGCGGTTAAAGTGGATGTGGCTAACTTCCTGCTAAAGATGGCCTAGCAGGCGAGCTGTGCGGTAGCGTAGCTGAGCTGTAGCTGTGTTGGATGTTTCCTCAGTGTCAGGTTGTGTTTAAAGGCTGGTTAGCTGTGTTAGCCAACTGGAAATGGGGGTTTAAAGTTTAAAGGGTATAACAGAGGCTGTCAAACACTCAAGTTTCTTTTATTTTTTAATTTTTTCCAGGAGTTGAATGACTTACAGAGAGATCCCCCAGCTTCATGTTCAGCTGGCCCTGTAGGAGAGGACAGTAAGTGTCAGGAAACACAATGAAACGTGTGTTTATGTGTATTAATACTGCATAATGTTCTCACTGACTCTTCCTTTTACCTGTTTGTTTTCTTCTAGTGTTTCACTGGCAAGCTACCATCACAGGACCGGTGAGAGTTTTCTGGATATGTTTTCTAGATATTTGTTTTTTTAAACCAAGCTGCTTCTGGATCTCTAGACAATAGTGTTTTATGTTGACTTTACAGTATTTTCTAGTGTGTGTGGGGAGCACACACACACTGGCACACTCTATCCCAGTGTTCCTCACTGAAGCCCACAGCATTATAGTGACCATAATACCATCATATCTTCATTTAGGCAACTTTTGTGTCCTCTCTACCTGGAGGCAGTATTTTATCTCATGAGAATCCAGTTTTATTTAACAATTGTATTTAACCCTCTTGCTTTTTAGAATGACAGTCCATATCATGGAGGAGTGTTCTTCCTTACTGTCCATTTCCCCACTGACTATCCCTTTAAACCACCAAAGGTATGAATACCTATCTTTAACACTCATATCCCAAAAATACACATTGATACTGGTGATTTCAGTATTTTCTTACATTTTGTAGAACACAGTGAATTGAAATTATCTGGTGGATGCAGCTTTGTCTATTTTAAGAAATGTTTCATTTGACTTGAGTTTTTTTCTCCATAGATTTCCTTTACAACGAAAATCTATCACCCAAACATAAACAGCAATGGTAGCATCTGCCTTGACATCTTGAGGTCACAGTGGTCACCTGCACTTACAGTGTCAAAAGGTAACAAAAGGACATTTTACCTGTGAAATGCAGTAGAGAACATTATAGCAGTACGTAGTGTGAGCTGGGTTGTATGATTCAATTTGATTCAACAAGGATTTTATTTTTTCTTCAATCAAATTTGAGTGAATATGTTGGAGAATGTCAAAGAATGTTTTTTAATCACAAGAGACATTGATGCAGTGAAACCTGTTTGGTTACGTCATCCCAGTGCAGTAAAGCCATAATGTTCAGCCTGTGGAAATAGAGGATTTGCGAACACTGTGTTCTTGGGACATTTCAAAGGATTTGAAGGTTTCAAGGACCTGAACCAACAGAATTTTGATATGATGGTGCTTGAAATCAAAGCCTGTTCATTTAGATTTTAATCGGTTTGTGGAGTTTGGAAGAAGAAGTTGAAAAATTCATGTTCAATTTAAAATTAATAAAATGATTTTTGATCTTTTTTTTCAGTTTTACTATCCATATGCTCTTTGCTATGTGACCCAAATCCAGATGATCCATTAGTCCCAGACATTGCACACACCTACAAAGCGGACAGAGAAAGGCAAGTATGAAAGCTGTAGATGTTGGCTTGTGGTCAAACCAGAATCACTTCCTTCATCTTTAAAAGCCCATTCTGAAATTACTTTTCTTTTCTAGGTACAACAAACTAGCCAGGGAATGGACCTACAAGTATGCAATGTGAAGGAACATAGTCTCTGCAACAACGACGCATCCCTGAACACCTCGAAATATGACAGTACTGTTCGAAATGCTCATCCACACTGGTTCTAGCTGAGGTGTTTTATAAGCTTGAAGCACTTTCTCTACTCAGATTTTACTTGACTCAACTGTTTTTACTGTTTATTTTCCCCTTAAATTGGCATTATTATTATTAGCGGTGGTGAGATACCCGGATTGTATTTTTCTTTTAAAATATTTACTGTATATTGTACAAACCCGTACTGAATTTATTTTGCATTGTTTTGCATTAAAAGCATTAATCGAAATTGGATTAACTTTGGGGGGGATTTTGTGACACATAAAATATTATTTTTATCATCATGATCATCATAAAATATTATCTTTCTGTGGCATAAAATGTGTAGTGCATTGTAATTTAATCAAACGAGGTGTTTAATATGCATATGACCACTAGGTGGAAGTCTTTACTTTTTACTGCACAAGCCTTTTTTCATAAGGGCTCTTTCTGTCCTGGACAACTTTAATTTTTATATTTGTGTTACATCCAATGCAGGCCCATTTACCAAATGGTGATTGATTCATGTGGAGAGTGTCTATTACATTGTCTTGTCTGCGTAATGAAAAGAGAAGAGATGTTCTGTCCATTAAAATTAAGTCAGGCATTATCCTCACCTCTGCTGGCTGCAGCACAATGATTACAGCTTTCCAACAACAATAACCCACCAGTAGAAAAACATGATTGAGGATAATTCAAATTGAAATGAAACATTTTAGCAGGGACAGGGCCATTGCTGTTATGTACTTTCACGAGTCTCTGATTGACCCAACCTCAATCTGCATGTCTGTGGCCTGTGGGAGGAAGCCGGTGAAAAAGTACCCGGAAAAATATACACAGAGAATAAAAACATGTAAACTCCACAGAGAGACTACGACCAAGCTTTAATGCAAGTTAGAAACATTCTTGCTTCGAGGTCCCCAGCATGATGCAGGATATAACTGCTAGATTGAAGAGCATCTTTAGGCTCTCAGGTGTATATGGGGAATATTTGTGGAGCTCTGCCCTCCAGCATCCTCAGACCATGATGCTCCAGACGCAACAACCACTTCCTCTCTGCAGCTGATGATGATTTCTCACACAGGCAACCATTACCTCATGTGAGTTGATTTTACACTGTTACGACTTTGACTTTAAATCAAGCAAAGAAAAATATTTGATGTCACAACACTTGGGAAATTCCTGATTTAAAAAAATTGTATAGGCCACTGAAAAAGTACAAGTCATCAGTAATAAGAGTTAATGTCACTCTCTACTCCCACTCATGTAGTTTAGACAATGAGGAGCCTGTCTAAACCCTCTGGGGCATTTTCTCAATTTTTACATGTCTTAAATTTACCTCTTAGACGCACTGGCACACAGCCTGATACCCACATATTCTTCAGGACATTCTCAGCGTTGACCTAGAGAATCACATAAAGACATTATTTGGCACTAATGTTGAAAATCTGATTTCAGAACTATAAGAATGTCTGTAAAACTTTTGTGAAAATTCAGCACATTAAGGTTAAAGACACACATTCCAAAGCTGATGGCAGTTTTTAAAAATTCTGTTGATGGTTCTACTCAGAGTAAAAAAAAAAAATTAAAAAAAATTAATTTCTACCTTTGTATAATGATGAAAGTTTATTTTATTTTCAAATGAGCAGGAAGAGGACTGAGAGGCAGACCTGATCCTGCAGCTCTGTGGTTACTGCTTTATAAAGAAGGCCCCAGCTGCAAGCAAGATTCACACCTGACTAGTTTATTTAAACATGAAGATTAACAGTGATGGCAATACATCAGTAACAACTGGCCTGTTCCTGTTCTGGGATAAGAAAATATTGCAAGCATGGAGAGTGACCAACAGACACAAGACGTGTAAATTCATCCGCTGGAAAACCTCGTTTAACAAGGTCATATAACACTGGAAACTGTCATCAGTCATTTCCTGGACACAGCGTAAGAAGAATCCCAGAAATACATTTCTACAAGGACCTGCAAACCTCACCGTGCTCAGTGACCTCTTGGTTCTTTGTTACTTTACAAGAGCATCTTTGTTTTTCTGGATTCTGATTTTTTTTTTTTTTAACTTATTGCAGACTTGCTCCACATTGTTTTGATTTCCTTTTCCTGTATTACTTCCTTTCACCACTCACAGGATGTGTAGTGTTTCCTCTATAAGCCAATTAATTGGTAGCACGGGGTGTTACCAGCAGCAGCCATGACATATAGAAATATAACTGCATGTTAAAGTCTGCTTAGATGTTTCTGTTTAGTTTATTTATATATCTAGTGGTGTGACTGATTTTAAGCTCATAATAATTGTGGTTTTGTTGGCTCCAATCACACAACGGCCTCCCATTAACGAGGCATACAAAGTTTTGCAGTGCACGAATTCAATCCAGTGAGTAAAGTTTTGGGACTTTCACAGGAACCCAGGGGGAGGTAGTAGATGCTGGTTCTGGGAGGAGTCCTGTTTCTTTTCTTTTTTTTCCTGCAGGATGACACGTGAAACTTTCCTGAGGAGGTGCTGGTGGTTGGTGTGTTTGCAGCACTGAGCCGTGCGGAGCTCCGTTAACTTCGGGAGGGACTCAAACCCTCCAGACCCGTGTGGCTCCTGCCTATTTTTAGACTAATGGGGGGAAACGAAGGGGCTTGAGGAAAACTGCAGAGGAGAAAGGAAAAGGGTCTCGACTGAGCTGCGATGAGCTCTCACAGCCCCGCGGAGTGACGAGGGTAGAAAAACAAAGAACACAAGTTCTTTCCTTTTCACTGACGCTCGACGCTTTTGGCTGCAGCGAGAGCTGAACTTTGAATCAGTGGCCTCCGGAGCAGCAGCAGCGGCGCAGCACCAATGGCTGCCCAGTGCCCAGACACTCTAAGCGGATACTTGCAGCAGCAGCAGTCGGACCAGGGCTCCAACAGCGAGCGCAGCACCGACTCCCCTCTCCCCGGCTCAGAGGAGGACCTGAGCGGACCGCATCCGCTGCCCGACCCGGAGTGGACCGAGGAGAGGTTTCGGGTGGACCGTAAGAAGTTGGAGGTCATGTTATTAGGTAAAACACACACACACGTATTCTCTTATATTGGAGTAATCTGACTTTAGAAAGCGTTTTTAAACTTCCTGCCCACTTTTAATATCCTCTGACTTTCCTTTGTTTGTATTTCACACTTAAAACAACATTCAAACAACACAACTACAACTTTGACCCACGCCAACGTGTTGCATTAGTCGTGAGCGTGACCAGGAAACTTCAGGGTGTCACGTGCCATCTCCGGAGCCAATCAATTAAACCAATTAACTCCAGTCAATTTAGGACTTCAATTAGTGTCACCTCCTTCTATAAACAACATAAAAACGCCTTTTTAAGCCTTTTTCTAAGTTTACACTTGTATGATCATTCATGCTGACTGAAACGAAACTTTGGGCAAGAAGGTTGAAGAGGTCAAAGACATGAGAGAAGGTCAACCATCAGTGGGTCGTGGTGTGTGCATGCAGAGGTAGTAACGTGCCCCGGCCACAAGCTGTCGCTGTGCAAACTCCCTTGGCGCCCATTTGTTTGTAGACTAAACTGAAATTGACCCGAACTTGCAGCTCACTTACATATCTGCAAAACAGTTTGCATGCGCACAACTGATGCAACAGCTTGAGTTGAGTGAAACAATAACAGAAAGTCAACGTGATAAATAATCTTAAGTACATTAACCACAGATTTACTTAGACAATTACATTTTCTTTGCTGTCATCCATGAATTTTGCCTCAAAACTCTGAAGCAGAAAGATCCTTTGTGCTGCAGGCTACACGTGAGAGCACATGTGGACTCTCCCTGCACATGTTGTGTTGATGCATGTTTTCTTCTCATGATTAAATTGATCCAGTGTGTGATCTCTACCTCTAATGATGTGACAGTGAACTGTTAAACAAACGATGACAGGCTCATAAAGAGCCAAAGCCGGCCTCTCAGGTCCTGGAAACTCTGGAAAGGTGTTGGTCATTTATCACATGGTTCAAAACCACAAGGAATGTAATATTATTATTATAGCGTTAGGTAAGTTGGCTGGATTCATTATTAAGTCCACCGGAAGACAACACGCCAGAGCCGGGAAGCAGCCAAACATGACCTTATGAGAAACAGTCATACTCGCCCTGTAGTTAAAACATCATATTTACTTAATCTACATTTCTGATGCGTAAAGCTTTACAGATACAAACATGATGAAAACTGCTCATTCATAGTATTTAACTTTGTGACTAACTTTCGGAGTAATACTCAGTGAACAGCTGGTTCTGAAGTAAGTTTATCCTTTATCCTATACACACAGAGGCACGCACATATTTCCCCCTGAGAATGTCCTGGTTGCTGCCTCGCTCCTCAGTACATTCCTCAAAGCTCCATGTCATCCCAAACTCTTCCAGGAAAACAACTTAACCAGAGGCCGGCCCTAAATCTCAGTGTCCCGGACATGCCGTGCGCCACGTCACACACAGAGCATCTAAAAGTGCCTGTATGTTATGTATATGTTTAGTTTACTGGATCTTTACGGTCTGTTAGTTTGCTCTTGTATTTCTGCCAACATCCTGTTTCTCAACGGTTCCTTCGTGACATCATGGCTGACGCTGCTCGTGTTGTTGTTGCTGCTGAGAGTCAGAACAGGAATAAGTACTGGGTTCTACCATGTCCTGGTCTTTCTGGTCAGTTGTAGGTTCAGGTTTAAATACCATATTATCTCCACTGTGAAACTGCTTTAACCTTTAACCTCAGGCCTTTGGGGAGAATCCAGGATGTCTGGTTGCATCACTTGTTGCTTTGTTATCTCTCAGTAGACATTACACAGTCCAGGCATCTGTTGAGTTTTAGACATGATGTATTAATAACCACAAACAGATATAATATGGTCTGGATTTGTTTGGACTCACAGAATCAGAGATTCTCATCTTGATTTTGTTCCTTCAATGAAAGTTTAAACTCAAATATTCTAAATTCTAATAGCTTTTTTAGTCTCATCCAGCTAAGCCAGAGCTCTATTACATCTGGCTGTGTTTTGATTGGATATGCCGTAGATTTTGCTGTGGTACATCATGTTCTGAAGGCCTGACTTTGGACTATATTTAAATAATTTCATGAGAACTCCAGCATATTTTTACTTAGTGTTTAATTGTCCGTGACGGTATCTCACTTTTTTTTGTCCTGGAAAATAACTTGATCCCACGGCAAAGAGCTACAAGTTAAATCGAACTACAATCACTTCCCAAACAACAGTACATTACCAT